AGGGAAAAAGGATGAAAAGGGAGAGAGACTCACAAACTGAATATAAAAACAGCTTTACTAATAACACTAAAAATACTGATGACATTAATAATAAGAGAAATAATAAAAAATATACAAAACCAATACTGGATTTCCCAGAATTGGATGCCACAGGCACTGACTTGCCGCCAGCAGCTGCCAGGCAGCACCAGGAAGTCCCAGATGGACTCAGCAGTAGACAGGTACTGGACTCAGAAATGCACGGATTGGAATCTGGATCAGGATCGCGGGCAGGACAACGAGCAGGGTCCTCTTCAGAAGCCGGCTGTGGACTAAGAGAGCGAGACCCTCATGATCCCCCAGCTTTAAACTGAGTACGACGTGCATGGTGTGGAATACCTTGTTGGTCATTGTCGGGTCACCTGTCCTGGCCGACCCTCTCCAACTCCTCACTTGTGGGACCGAAGAGGTCTATCAGTGACCTTGGCTGCTAGAGTAATAATTATAAGCATGGGCCTTTTTCTGCATTCTTTTCCTACTGTTAGCTCAGTATAACTATGAACATTAGGTGTTGTCAGCTTTGGGGCGGACACTGTCTGTAAAATAAGCAGCGAGCTTCAGAAGAATGCAGCTACTTAGAAGAACTTAGCTATAAGGAAAAATCACTAAAAGAGAAAAGAGGACAGTAGTTGTGCTGGTGACACTCGAGGCAAATCTGTCTCTCTGTCACTGGCAGATTTTACTCTAAACAGAATAAGGGTGATAATGGGACCAAAACTTCTCTTCAGGTCAGGCTGTATAGTCCCCACTCCTGAGCTGCCTGCAGGCAGAATGCCGTGATTCTATGAAACCCTGTTGACTTCTTACTAGTTGCAGGACTGCAGCCAGGAGAATGGCCCATCCGTGGGATAAAAGAAAAGGGGGCAAAGTATCCCTAGGTGTTTTATATACAAATTGATAACGCATGTTGTTGATAGCCTTTCGGTAATGACTTTCCAAGTTTCCAGCCACCAAGACAGATACAGCTACTTGTATCAGCTGAGAGACTGAAACTGTTTTGAAGTCTGTGAGAATTACTGCTCGGTAAATGGTATTGAATTTCTGTCATGTAAGTTATTTAGTAAGATTTTAGAATGCTTTTTAAATTACACATAGAAAAGTAGTAGTAGTTGTTACAAATCTAAGGTGCTGGGGAGGTAAAAATGCCTAAACCTGTCAAACTCATATGCTTTCCAAAATAGGTATTTTAGAACATTTTGTGCCGTAAGTTGCAACATTGTCTAGGCTTGTCTTGAATGATTTCTGGAGAAACTAATATAAAATTAGAGTAGTTGATACAATGTTTCTACTACTGGTCAAGATTAATTTTTTTTAAATAATTTCCTCTCAGTAAGACTTGACAGGCATGCACATAGAAATCCTACTGTTTTATGTCACTTCTCAGCCAGCTTGCGTAGACAGACCAGCTGCTGCCCATCACTACCGCCTTTCCAACAACACTGGAGATGCATGAGCAAAAGGACTCTCTGACTGTCCTGTCTTAAAGTTTTGTGTAGTAGAGTCTTAAATAAAATAATGCCCAATAAAGTAATAAATAAGTTTTCCCTTTTTCCTAATACAGGGAGGAAAAGGAAGGATAGGTGTAGTCATATCATCATATATGCACTTCACCAATGTTTCTGCAAGGTAAGCTGTGAATAATGCATGTTGTGGTTTTTTTACAATTAAGGAAACATCAGAAAAAGATGCCTTTTAAATGTAGTACTGTTCGTCAGCTTACTGTTTGTCAAGTTTTATTCTCAGAGAGTCTTGCAGCATGCCTTAAAACAGCCTGCTTTCAAGCTTCAGTGATTCTCTAAAGGGTCTTTCGAGATGAATGAAGAAATGTGCAAGAAACTATTTTTACATAATACCATCTTTATTAACCTCATCTATTTGTCACATCCATCAAATTTCCTTTTTTGAATCAGTAAGAAACTATTCCTGAAGTACTCAAGGAAAACAGTTATTAGAATCTGGAATCAATATTTGAGTAGGGAATTCCTAGACATTTATCAAAGTGCAGAATGTAGTTTAAGAAATAATCTAGACTTTATCTTTCAAACAGTAGGCATCTGATTACTTAGTTTTAATTGTTTCTTTTAGAGTGCTGAAATTATGAAATGACTATTGACAATATATGTCCACAGAGATAAATTTTGATAAATGGTCTCAAAAGGATGAAATGTTTTTTGTTTTGGGTTTTTTTTGCTTTTAATCAAATTGTTTACCCTTGGGGTGTCTCATACATATATATGAAGCTATTAAAATAAAAAAGCACTGTAAAGGCCATGGTTAAATCAAATTTGGTTCTGAATTCACACAAGTCTGTCAGTAACAGATTTGATCCGGTACTGTAGCGGATGAAGTCCAGAATCACCATAGGCTGATGGCAAATTACTGATGGATTTCAGTAGATCCAGCATCTCAGAAAGTACTCTGTGCTCACTCTATTAAGCCTGATCTATGGGTAATTGTAGACTAAGAAATTAAGTGCATTGTGCACATCAATATGTGCTGAAAAAATAAATACATACATCTTCTAGTAGTAAATGGGACAGTGATCGCTACAATTTTATAATATTTTGTTGAGAAGTATTGTGAACTGTCAGGTGAGGCTAGTACAGTACTGTGTTGTGATCTCTGTGTTGCAATAGTGTGTAATCCGTAAAAGTGGTACCTGGCTGTAAATACATTTTAGTAATGCCATAACAGAACAACACCTGGATGTGATTGTAAAGCCCAGGAATGAAAGGGGTCATCTTTTACCCCGAACAAATTTAGGATTCCTCCAGGGAGGCTGCAGGGGAGGAGTGAGTTTGGAAGCTCTCCTTTAGATTTCTGGATATCTGTCAACTATCCAAAACTTAGCTTTTCTGTGTGAGAATAAGGCTGGGGAAGTTTCCCAGCTAGGATTTGTATATCTAGCATTGTCAAGACTCTTCAGAGCGGTACACGGCAACCTTACAGAAGTAGAATTACTGCAGGCGCTGCTGTCGAGGGTGCCAGCTGCTCTGTCAGAAACAGTATTCGGAAGACTTTGAGGATGTTCACGCTAAATAAAGTTCCTAATTGTCTCCGTGTACGTGCCAAAAAATCTAGGCTTACTGAAAAAGCCTTCTGATGCAAACCATTTTTGGTTAAATGTTGTGAATATCTGATTTTCCCATTTAGGAAGGAATAATGTGCCATCAAATTTTACAAGGGCAAACAGAGCTCATTGTAATAGTTGCTAAAGTCTGTTTTAACAAGTAAAGTACTAGCAGTCTTTGGCCAGTTATGAGTGGGTTGCCTAAATTCTGGGTGGTGGTGCAGGTGAGGATGTATGATGGGTCGCGTGAAGAAGAGAGTTTTTGGGTCAGGAATGTTCTAAGTGCACTCTGTGTATTTTAACATCCATGAAGAAACGGCATGACTTTACAGTCTGATCCAGCACCCCGTCAAGACAATTGGTAACTTCTGATTAACTTTTGGAAAAGTTATAAGTTCCTTTTTTAGCCTGATACGCATAGGTATACTTTGCACAGTTTTTTTCCTTGGAGCTCATTTAGGTTGAACTAGATATAGAATTTGAAATTTGAGATTCCAGAGTCTTTAATTTTGAAACTTCTGCTTTTTTTGTGTGTCCTGATGTTAATTAACACTGTCAGCTACATCTGTTCAGAGACTTGTTGATTTTGTCTGGTGTGGATACAAGGGAATCAGCGTAGCGTGTTACCTGGCATATGTAGTTAACAGCATTCGTATGGATTTTTGGCGCTTCCATTTCTTTTTTCTATACCCTCTTGCCTTCCTCTGCACAGATGCAGAAAGACCTACATCAGAGCCACTCTGGATAGAGAACGGAAGAAAATGTACTTCTCTGAATATGATGCTTTTTAATTGTGCGTTTGAAGAGTCTGTGGTTGTCTGATACAAAATATTTATTGACACTTTCATTTTAAACATTCTCTCCCTGGTGGCTGCGGGCACAGGAAACAAAGGCTGAGTGAAATATTGTGCTGCTTAACTGATCGTCTAGCCTGGCATCCTTTGCATCTCATGTACTGTGCTACGGTCAGAGCTAGGCAGTGACTTTCAGCTCCGTAATGTTGCTGCTTCTTTTTTCAAAAGAGAATAGATTTGTATTTCGCAGAGAGGACTCAGCACTGCCACTCTCAGGAAACGATGACAAGTATCCTTCCTTTGCATCCTGAGCTGCTTGGCTTTGCTAAAGTTATTGCAGGATGACTTTAATGTATTCATGTTGGAAATATGCAATCCAGTTAACTGAATAAGGGAGTAGGTGCTTTGCCTCAGGAAGGAGCTGCCTTAAGGTGCGGAATGAGAAGGTACCAGTGGAAAAAACACCCTTGTCTGATCTGTAAGTGCCAGAGTTGCTAGTTAGGTCCTTCTTTCTTTTTTTTTTTTTTGCCTTCCTTTCCTTCTTTTTCCTCCAAATATTTTGGCATATTTCAAGCCGTAACCTGCTGAATTTTAAAGATAATCCCGAACTGGAATAACGTGATACCTGTGTCTCTGTTTTGACAGTGCTGATCAGGCTCTAGACAGATTTGCTATGAAGAAATTCTTTGATGATAAAGTTTCAGCTTTAATGCAGCCATCCCAAAGAAGGTATTTGTTTCTGATTCATACCAATAAGGAACGTCATTGTTACCTGCTGCCCCCGTCCCTTACTTGCTCCCCTGCTGCGTGAAGGCTGTTTCCACAAGATCCCCCAGTGATTCCGGAACTCTCACTATTTTATCTTATACTAATGTTCCTTGATTGATTGATGAGACCTCTCCTTCAGTTCCTGCATGTAGCCCAAGATAGAGAAGACCTTTCTGCCACGTATTACCTACATGTGTTCTTACTGCATTGTTTGTTGATAAAAAGAGATGTCACAATCTCTTGCTTGTTTACTCCAAGATAATAAATTTGGTTTTCTGTGGCATAAATGGTGTGTATGGAATGTGCGGTGATTAGTGTGCAATAACGATTGAAATAAAGCACACCGGTACTTTGGAGTGTCACTCCCCATGAGAATAAAGGAGGTTCTCCAAACCATTGGTTGGAATCCTGCTCCTCTGGAACCTGGCCATTCCTACCTTTGCCTGGCCTGGCAGGGGCTACTAATTCTGTTTCAGAGAAAAGAAAGCTTCGCTCTGTAATATTTGTGGCTAATTTTATAATCCTTTTTTGATCCATTTTGATCAGTTAGTGGCCTGAATCACCTTTTTAATGTGCTTTTTCTCTGAAACCATTCTTGGATAATTAATTAGTGATGTTCTTGTTAAAATCCAGTTGATGTATAAACAGGTATAATTTAGGTGAATAGCAAAATGATAAAATTTGAAAATACACCCATTATTTGTATTTTGAAACTTTTTCTCCACTAGGTTTTGTCCAGAAAAAAGTAAATTGTGGCCAGTAAGTGCATCAGTCCTGAAACTATCACTTAGATTTTCCCCACTGCTGGTTGGATGCTGTGACAGTGGCAAGAAAAGCAACTATAGACCAGATGTCCTATTCTGAATCCATTCTGACAATACTTAAAATGGATACTTACTCTCAGATAAGCAGTTCAAGGTTTGTGTGAATAAGAAGTGCAGATACAGACCCTTCATATTTAAAAATTTTTCATAAACCTTCAAAATAAATCTGTGAAATGCTTCTCCGAAACAAGCCAACTGCCTATAAGCCTCTTAAATGAGCTGCCTTGAGAAAGGTCTTCAAAAATTCAGTCAAATTTTTGGAATAATTTAAAACAGGTAGTGGTATTATGAAGTATGTTTCACGGTAAATGGAGTAGGATACATGTCATGCTGCTGCGAAAGCCAGTCGAGACCTTTAGTTGCAACTGGAAATGTATACCAAAATAATTGATTTTGCCGTCTCTGCTAGTTCCTTTCGTATGTAGTGATGTAAATAATTAAAATGAAGACACCAACAACAGCAATGTAACAACCATGGATTTAATAAATCGGTAAACTAAAGTGCCTTTTCATCCTGTTTTGTGAAGATTATTCTTTTGGAGTTGTGGCACATGTCACAGTGCTATTCACTACCCATGGCCTAGAAATATTAATGTGTAAGGAATGTATTTCCCTGATATGGTTGCATTACTGTTTTTATTTAATTCAGATAAATTTTGTATTTTTAGATATGTGCAATTCTTAAGTGGTCTTCTATCTGGATCTGTGAAAATGAATGCAACCCCTCTTTTCCTGCACTATGTTATCCTTCATGGCATCCCAAGCTTCGATGCTGGGGGAGGTAAATTACCTAACTTTTCGTATCCAAGTGTAGGCTCAAAGTCTTGTTTCATTTTGGAGCTTTCTGGAAAGCCTGCATGAATTTCAAAGTAGAGTTGATGCTCCTTGATATCAGTCCAAATAGTCCCAATAAAAGAACCAGGAGAAGAGAAATATCCAAAGAGTAAAAATTACAGCAGGTAAAATAGAATTCTTGTTCTTTGTTAAATGATGAGTTGTTGCTATTCGTATCTGCCTAGTTTCTGAATAGTTGTGATCCCAGAACCCGCAAAAGATCTGAGAACCTGATCAGGTTTCACAGTGATTTCCTCTTTGTTTAGGAAATAAACATAATCACAAATATAATCACTTTTCTGTTTTGAGATTGGATTTTCTGTAGAAAAGCAGTTTGGATATAGTGTGCTCCTGGGTGGCCTGCTATAATGCTAAATAATTGTAATTTTAAAGTGACTTTAAAATTAAAATAGTAAACAAAGATATTGTTGTAGAGCATAATAAAGGAGTATAACTCTGTATTTTTATCATCCAAGAGTTAAATAGGACCTGTCTTTCAAAATGTCATCAGCATGAATTTGCAGTGCTCTATTGTCATCGTTATTTATTCTGTTTAGTCTGGTTTTATTTCTAAAATAACTTATTTCAATAAAGACAAAAGTTTTTTTTGTTGTAGTAAGAAATTTAAGGGGTTACGAGTTTTGAAACAAAACTGTAGATCAAATATTTTGTTTCATTTTGAAAATGCTTTTTATTTTGTTATGGGTTTTTTGTTTTGTGTTGGCCATTCTCTTTCTTGCCTTCAAGATTTTGATTTCCTGCGGTAAGAATGGGAAGGAAGGAAGACTGACATTTAAGGAGCAAAGTGTTCCCTCTTTTTTTCCTTACTGGAATCGTTTAAAATCCCCCCCCTTCCCAATTCAGAACTAGTCTGAAGATCAGGAAAAAGTGACTTGTTCATAAAATAAAATCAAATACTATTTTTGAGGAAAGTGAATCTATCAAAGCCAGTTTTACTTTGAAGGCTATTTTGACAGGCAACACTGTGCTACTTGTGTACGACTTTGCTCAGTCTGGATGTGCGTGAAGCTTCCTAGTTATAATATTCAGATAAAGGAAAAAAGTTACAAAACAGTATTTTCTGTTGGCTTCTTTTCAGCTTGCCGGCCTTTTCTGAAGTTATACCAGGCTATGCAACCAGTGTATACATCTGGAATATAGTAAGTCATAAACATTTTCCTTTATGTTTGAATCCAGGTTTTAATTCTCATAATTGCAGAATTACATAGTCTTTTTTTCTTTTTTTCTCTTTTTTTTTTGTTTCCTTAAACCATAAATTTTGTTTTTTCTTTTCTGTCCTGTTAAGTAGCATAGGGCCAGAGAATCAAAGCCGAATCTGCATTGCTATAGACCCTGCCCAGCTTTTGAAGGGAGATATTATGGTAAGTTACTTGTATGGAATGAAATTCTAGTGCTGTGCTCTTTAGTTTACAGTCTCTATCCTGGTTTGCATTCTTGTAAAAAAAATAGATTGAGCAAATGGTTGCAGACATACTACAAAATAGGTTATTAAGTTAATTTAGTCATCATCCTTGAGTTTTATAGGAATCGAAATTCCTATAAAGCTCAGTCTAGAAGTTTTTAGGAGCCAAAGCAATTGCTCTCAGCATTCCCATTTCATAGCATCACCAAGTGCAGTAAGGCCTGTATCGCTGTTTTCTTTATAAAAGTTGCTTCGGGGAGCATTTGTAACTCGGCATTGAAATACCCTTGTCCTATAAATTGGCAAGCAACACGCGCAATCATAAAACTATATACTGTAGAGAAAATACCTCACTCATTCTAAATTGTTCTGCTATTCAAAAAGATGTGATACTGAATAAAAGCTTTCTGATTCTGCAAGCACATGCAGTATTTAGAAGGTAATTTATAGGTGCTAATATATTGTGTGTGATTCCCTGTGTGCAAAGCGTAACTGTGGTTGAATTGCAGCGCTGTCGTTTTAAATCTCTCTGCTTTCTCTCTCGCTTGTCATACACAGTTATGCACACAGAAAGGAAAGAAAGATAGTTATCGTACCTTTTAATTTGTTAAGACTAAGACGACAGAACGTGTGGAAGGAATGGTGGTGGGAAGTATTGTTAGTATTCCTGGTCTATTCTAGTAGGTTGTAGAACTTTTTTTATGCGCCACTTTGAGAAACGTTGGACCTCAGTGTAAGGCGTCCTTGGTTTCAGATTCTTTTCTTCCCTGCTTCTTTTTTTTTCTTCTTTTGAAATAATTTTTTTTATTGTCCTTCCTCCTTCTTCCTGTCCTACTTTCCCTCCCCAGTCAGTCTAGTATATTGTTTTTCCTTTCTTTCACTGAACAAAGGAGAAACAATTTTTAAGTATACTTGTATAAATTAGTATACTCTGGAGGTGTGGGACAGTTTCAGATGCAGGAAGATTTGTTACTCGTCAGAGGACTGTTGGTTCTAAGAAAATAGAATAGATCACAAAAGAAATCAGTCTGAGACAGATTCTGTATCTCTCAAATGTCTGTTTAAAATGAAAAATGAGCACATAACTCTTCAGTAATGCAGTAATGTTCATATGATTTTAAGAGAGATCAGCTTCATTAGTCCCATTGGAGGTAAGTCTGCTGAGCAAGCCAGTGTCTTATTCAGCATGGTGGTATTTTCTAAACAAAGACTTCACTTCAGTTTTGAGTATTTTTTTTTTACTATGTCTAAATAAGAACATCAGTGTTTTCAGGAAAAAGAAAAACCTATGGGATGCTCCACCTCCAATTCTAAAAGATTTAACCGCTTGAAGTGCATGGATTTAAAAAACAAAACAAAACAAAGCAAAAAAAACTTGCTTGTCTTGGGTTTAGAGAATTTGTGAACACGATGCGAGTTGTATGTGGCGTTACTGCCTGGCCACAGGTGTTGAAGAGCTGCGCTGACACCTGTAGATGCATATAGGTGTTTCCCAGCATATTGTAGTGGCTGGCGTTAATTCTCGAATGTGGCATCGGAAGGTAGTGGAGTCAGAATTCAAAGTTAAGCTTAGACTTTGTTGAAAGCTGGTTATATATAGTGAGCACTAAAAGATGTTTTCAGTAGACTTTTACTGATTGTAAGAGAGGCCAGATTTTCATAAACAATTACAATTCTATATAACGTTGTTTAGGCGATACTAAGTTAAAATCATTCAAGGCTGTTATTTTGAATTGGAAAGCAGAAAGAAGCAGGGACCACGTAGTTCTCTAAACTGACCCAGATTCAGCATTTTTATAAACAGGATTATGCGGAAGACAGTAGACTCTGAGTAAATCCAGAAAGTGTGCAAAGCCAGAACTCTTACAAGTTGGAGGATAAAATGTATTGTTCAGGTATTTAGTCTTCTGCATCTTCAGAAACTCTCGTGTATGATCCACGTGTAAAATATTGTTTAAACAGCTAAAGAAGTTAAATTGTTAACACAAAATTGTGGAGGATTGTATATGAACTTAAAGAAGCTCTTAAGTCTTTTCAAGCTTCTTTTTGTTCACATAATTAAATGGAATTATCACAGTTACTTTTTTGGAGCAGGTTATGTCTCTAGTGAGGGGCTCTCTTGATGCCCTTTCTGTCCATTTTTCACTGCTGGGCAAACTTGCAATTTTCATCCTTTACGATGGTGTTTTGCCTTTACGTAGAGTTGCTGGGCATAGTGGAGAATGAGCATTTGTTGATTCCTGAATCAAGCAATGTAACTGTAATCCTACGTGTCGGTAATTTAAGGGACTGACTTGTGGCCGTGGTTCTAGTGAAATGGTGCTGGTAGTTGTGTTGGACTAAGAGGAAATAGATCCCTTCAAGAGGCAGAGATTTGTATGCTGTTAATTTTAGTGGGTGTAAAGCACTGTTTAAAATAAGAAGCAAATACTATTTTACCTGGTATTACCACTGTGCTGTAGGGGATTCTCTTTTAAAAAGCAAAGAAACAAAACAACCCCAGATCCTCACTTTCAGGTAAAATAATGCTTACTTGCATAGAGAATCTCCCAGCCTTCATAAAGGGTTAGGAATATGCGGCTTCTGTAGAGACTACCTGAAAAATAGCCATCTCTGGTATACGGGCTGAAATGTTTCAGAAGTTGTACTATGTGCCACGTATATAGCCAGCACTGATTAACTTCTGCAGTTTAAGGCATCATGGGGTTACTGTAATGAAGGGTAGAAAGCAACAGCTTATGTTATATTTTTTCAAATCTTGTAGCGAGAAGAATTTCATAACTATATTTTAATCCCAACTTTCAGAAGCATCCTTCTTAAACCCACTATATGTTTCTTTGTATTACTTCTGTCTGAATAACTGTTTGCGCTTCGGTTATCCAGTATTTTCTGTCTAGAACACTTTTCTCAGCCAGCCTTTACAAAAGGTGATTTTTTGTTGTCTTTTTAATGTGCTTCAGTAACATCTGCTTTGTCATAAAATCCTGATGTCATCATTAAATTTTCAGCCTTGTGAGTAAAGTTACCAAAATTTTTATGTATTCCTTTAAGAATACTGAGTGGCTTTGTATGACAGTTGACTCAGAGAATCGGTAGGTAAAATATCCATAGGTCTAGTCTAAGGGGGGATGGTGCTAGAGAGTAGGTGTATTGTGTTCACCTTTAGCTGCTGAAATTTATGCTAGACATGAGTTGTGTGTTCTTCTAGCCAAGGTGTCAAAAATGCTACCAACTGCCTGTAGTAACATAAACCAAAATCCTATTGTTAATACAGTAGGTTTTGAAAAAGTACTGAAATAGAAGCAAGCCTGCAAGCTGATTACATCTAAAAATTCTGCATATTCTTCAGTTATTTTGAAATGGATATGCTATAATTGTACTAACAAGTGTTGTGATTCTGAATCATAATCTACTGACTGGTGACTGATAGTGGTGAAAACAGTAATTACTATTTTTACACATCCATAACTATCTTGCCTTGGGCCTGTATAATTTTAAAGGATTGAATAATGCATACCCTGCTTGTTACAACATCAGAGGTGTCTGCAGTAAATTGCGCTGTGGCCGCTTTACTTAGCGAGTAAGGAATACGCACAGGTTTGTTCAGATTTGTAAGAAATTGCTTTCTGACAGGTTTCTCTCTGTCTTTCTAGCTGAAGTGTTATCACAAAAAATACCGGTCAGCTACTCGTGATGTGGTTTTTCGCCTTCAGTTTCACACTGGGGCTATTCAAGGACATGGCCTGGTGTTTGGCAAAGAGGACTTGGACAATGCCAACAAAGGTGCTCGCCTGCTGTGGTTGGTTGGATGCGTGTGTGCCTGTGCGTGTGATGATCCTCTTCAGGACTTGTTTGCAAAAGGATTCTTGACAGGTAAACCCCTAGTGAGAAGAAAAGCTCTTCAAGTGAGTTAACTTGTCAAAATAATTCAGATACTCCTCCATAGTCCTTATAGCCTCCCCTCACATTTATCAAAGCAACAGACATTTGCTTAAAATGGTGACAGAACTCCAGCTGACACTTATGTGGTCTTTTCCGGAGAGTGTGTGGGGCAAAGAATGTGGCTTTTTTAGAAGCAAATCAATAAACTGCGAGTGAGAACGGAAGAGTGAGGAGCATATGTGTATTCATAGCTATAGGGAATCCTGATTTCCGAGTTGCGTTGGAACTGATTTCCTGGGAGACAGCTTGCTGAAAGACTGTCCTTTGTTTTCAGATGACCGTTTCCCTGATTATGGCAAAGTGGAATTAGTGTTTTCAGGAACTCCAGAGAAAATTCAAGGTGAGTATACAGGATAAAAAATACACCTAGTTTGAAAATAAACCACATTGAAATGCACACTTTTTAAAAATAATTCTTTTTTCCTCTTTTATTCCACTTCTCTTGTAGATGATCTGGAATTCAGCTTTACTGTTAAAATATGTAATGCAGTTACTGATTTAAATTTGAAAATTTTAATGAAGACACTGCATTTACATCAGCATAGGAGTGATCAGATTTTGTGTTAAAACTATAATAGAACAGTTACTGGCAAGCAGTAGAAAACATTTGTACATCTATGTAAAACATGCATAGTATAGGTAGGTTGTCCTGGCAGAAGTGACAGCAGTGGCCTATCCCACAACCTTTTTTGGATGTTGTCATAACTGATTACGTTTGCAGTGGTGAAGTTTGGACTGTTGTCAATTTAGCATAAAGAAATACAGCTGTAGCTTTGTTGGAAATGCTTCTTCCCTGAAGTTGACTTGTAGGGTGTATCCTGTATGCCTCCAGAATTCTGTGATAATATGTCTAAGGTCATAGATAATTATGACTTGCAATAAGAACTAAAGATCTTGTTTTATACTGCGGTTTAATTCTGTTCATGGATGTGTTCTCACTCATTTTATGGTGTCCCAAAAAGTATGGATTTTGCCTGAGACTGAATGAAACCCAGATATTCTTAACTGTCTCGTACATATTCCCATTCTGTGTCCTATGAATTGCGTGTTTTCCTTTTCTTTTTTTTTCCCCCACAACTTTGATCACTTAAAAACTTGCAGTAGCAGCCATTAAGAAGTTGGGTTCTGTCCAGCTGAACACAAAGATCTCATTTAGCTTGTTGGAAAGCCGTGTAAGAAAAACAGTTTTATAAATAAATTTGACTAGCTTGTTCTAAATATTTCTGGATAGTAAATACTTGAAGTGAGGCCAGCTGACGTGTCTAAAACGGGATCAAATTTAAGTCTCCCTTCCTTAGATGGCAAATCAGAGGTGTGTTTTTTAGCAGGCTCCGAGTTGCTGGGAAGTGAGGTTCTAAGTAACTGGAAATTTGTGTTCAATTGCTTTCTGAGGGATTAACTGGCTAGGAAGAGAGTTCAGCTTGAAATATTTATTTGCAATTTCTGCAAAAGTACTTTTTCACATCTGAAAATATTATAGAATCATAGAATAAATGCAGAGTTTCTCTTGTCCATCCTCCTG